CCAGGAGGTAGGGTTGAGCTTTGGCACATAGGTCCGCTAGGAAAAGATCAAGGGTCCCCTCCCTCCCATGGCCCAGCCTTGAGAGCAGGTGGCCACTTACCTCGTCATCTGACTGCAGGTACATATGTGCGAACTCCAGCAGCTCCCGGAGCTCCGCCGTCTGATTGTGGTAGAGCATGGCCTCCTGAGAGGAAGGGGGAAGAGTGAGGTAAGCCAGAGCCTGCTGCCAGATGGTGGAGGAGCCGAGTTGCTAAGATCTGGGTCCTCCCACCCTTCTTCAGATCAAGGAGCAGGGAACAGGTATCAGCTCACATGCTGACTGAAAAGTCACAGCTGCTTGGAGTGGTTAAGGAGGATTCTGAAGGCTCTGATAGAAAGAGTTCCTTAATCGATGAGCAATGCCTGCCACCAGTAAGGAAATCGAGGGTGCCCCTGGGGGTTTCCTTAGCTGGTCCAAGGTAGGGGGTCCCTGGGAAGGAGGGCAAAGGCCAGCACTGAGAGTGGGGAGGGTGGGAGGGGAGCAGGTGGGAACGGATGGGCGTTCCTGCACCTCCCACAGCCTGGGTGTTGTGCCGTCACGGTAGGCAGTACCACTCCCTTTCTGTAGGTGAGGCAACGTATTCACAACCCATCAGTAATGTTCCAGGCCCGTTCGGCTGGTGGGGCTGGCTCTGAACCCAGGACTCCAACCACAGCCCCATAGTCTTTCTTTTCACTTCCCACCCTGCCTTCCAAAGAAGCCAGCATTTTTTTTTTTTTAAACCATGTGTCCCGAGAGTGTCTCTGAAGGCAGTGCCCACCTCGCGGGGCTGGAAGTCCTCCTCTTCCAGGCCCCAGCGAGCCCGGTGGAAGCGGTAATACACCAGGTTCTGCTGCATGACACTGTCGTCAGGGTCGAAGAGCATGTAGCTGGCGGCGCTGCGGGCAGCCTGGCGCACATCATTCACTGCGGGCAGGACAGGAGTGAGGGGTAGCCCTGGCACTTCCCCGCCTTCAGGAACAAGCCCATCCCAGAGCTTTCCCCTCTCCCAATTCAGTCCAGTGCTCCTGGCTCCCCAGCTGCACCCCCCCAAATATCTTTTGGCCATATCGCCCCACCCAAATAATAATGCAAGCTAGAATGTACTGGGCAATTACGATGTGCCAGGCCCGTGTAACTCATTTCAGCCTCACCATTATTATCATTCCCATTATATAGACAAGAAACCTGAGGCACAGAGACGTTAGGTAAACTGATCAAGCCCACCCAGCCGGAGGATAATGGCACTTGGGAATGAGAGCCAAGCAGCCTTGCCCTTCAATCTCTTCACCAACTGGACCCATGAAGGGTCTCCTGGGCCCTTGGTCCTTAGCGCCTCCACTCCAACTCCAGCCTCCATCTGAATCTTGGCATCTTTGCATTGTAGGAACTCTGGAGATGGACCATCCCAGCCCCAGTCGATGCCAGACTCTCCCCCAGATGAGGAAAGTCATAAATCCTGGTGCTGCTTGTCACTGGCCATGTGACCAATGGCCCCTTGAGCTCTCTGAGCCTCAGTTTCCTCATCTGAAAAATGGGTCCAGTAATGTCAGCCACAGGGAATCAGTGAAAGCATCAAGTGAGATAAACAGATGTGGGAGGGCTTTGTAAACTGTCAAGTGCAGTGCTGTTGTTGGCTCCCCATTTACCCAAGAGGTCCCTGAATTCTCCTAAGGTTGTTCCTTGCTCCTTCCCACCCTCTCACCTGTCTGCCACCCCCCGGCCTTCCCTCCTGTTACATACGAGGGACAGCTCCCCACGTCCCCATAACACTTCCGTCCCCATACCACTCCCGTGGTGGCGCTTTCTCCCTGCACCCCCTCCCAAGCCCACCAGGACGCTCACACTTGTAGTAGGCAAACTGCAGGTAATGATACATGGTGGCCACAAACTTCTCCACGAAATAGCCGCCCACGTTGGGGGTCAAGTTGGCCTCACAGTCCACCTTGCACTGCAGGGACTCTGCAAAGAGATCTAGGGGGTGGGAGGCAGCGGTGAGGAGCTGGTGCCTGGCCAGCAATGCCATCACAGGAGGTAATACTGGTAAAGACTCTGCCCAGGATACTAAGGGCGACTACTGTGGCCTGGGCTGTCTTGTCACCCCCACAGCTCAACCCCCACCCCCAAAGCAGAGGGAGGTGGGGCATCCTGAGGCAGATGAGGTTTGGAGGTGGGATTGAAGCCCAGATAGAAAAGCTCAGGATAGTTCTTTCTGGCCCCGCTGAGGTGCCCGGTGGTTAGGGATCCACACACCACCTTGGCACCTCTGCACTTGCACTGCCCTCTGCCTGAGGTCTGTGAAACCAGCGTCCCCCAGCCCCTTTAGGGATGTCACCACCTCCCTGCACCAATGCCCAGCACCTTGGACACTCAGGACTGTAGCCTGTCTTTTTCACTGACTGAAGGCTCCCAGGGCAGGGATAACAGCTTACTTCTGTCCACCTCCCGAGAACTTCCTGGGTGCTCTATACACGTGTATGGGATGAACACTTATGAGTTAAGAGGAATTAGGAGTTATGGGAAGCAGGGCTCTGTGGGTGAGAGGGATGCCCACAGGGGCCTGTAGGGGGAGGGGAATACCTGCTATGGCTGGGTAGAAGTCCTTGAAGTCCACTTGCTCGTGGGCCCCCTCGCAGCCAGCCAGACACCGGGCAAAGACGGCCAGGTACTCGGCCAGGGCCCGCTCCATGTCCTCCGTGCTGCCGCGGAAATCCCCGCTGTTGTAGAGCTTCACAGCCCTGAGGAACACGGCCTGCAGGGGCGCGTCGTAGGGGTCAGGGAAACTCCCAACACCTCCCCTCCAGTACCAACCCTGCGGTGGGGTGGTCAGCGTCAGGGCCAGCCCTAGCCCTCCACCCCACCTCGTAGGGCTGCGCCTCCAAGTCGGTGAGGGGCTCCTCGCCGGCATCTAGCATCCCCCGGTAGTAGCTCAGATACTTGGCGGTTAGCTCGTGCTTCGGGTTCCTTTGGAGGAAAGTGTAGGCCGCGGCCGCCGCCTTCTCCAGCCGGTTAGCCTGTGGGACAGGGACAGAGAGGGTCGGAAGGGCCAGGGACCGCAGCCCTGCGTGCGCAGGAGGGCTTGGCTGTCCTTGGTTGTGCGATCATGCTGCTCCGCGACCGGACGGAAGCCGACGCCGGCTCCGAACCACGCGCGCCGGGCGCGCCCAGGGGACGAGACGGGGCGGGGGCGCCGGGGGCAAGGGGCACCGGGCCTAGGAAGCGAGGCGGGTCGGGGGCTCCAGGACTGGGGGCGCGGCCGGGCTGACGGAGGGAGACGCGGGGGGTGGGTAGGATCCGGGACTCAGGGTGCCGGGGTGGGATTGGTGGGTCGCGGCGGGGCAGGGGGGTTCTGGGACTGGGGGCGCCGGGGTGGGGCTGGGGGGTCGCGGTGGGACGGGGCGGGGCGCCGGCGAGGGGCCCACCTTGAACAGCGCGTAGTGCAGGTACTGGTAGGGCAGGCGGCTCTGGAAGTCGCGCAGCAGCTGCCGCGGCGGGTAGGGCACCTGGAAGGCGGGCAGCGTCCGCTTGCAGCGCCGCAGGCAGGCGGCGCGTTCCAGGACGTGGCCGAAGAGCCACAGCTCGCGGGCCCACTCGTCGCCGCGGCCGCCGTCGGGGCCGGGCTCGGGCCCCGGGGGCGAGGCGGCGGGCGGCGCGGAGCCGCTGCAGTTGGCGTGGCAGAAGGCCTCGCTGTCCCGCAGCAGCCGGTGCAGCCGCAGCGCCGCCTCGAGGTAGCGCGCGCTCTCGCGCCAGCTCTCGCCCTCGTACTGCTCGAGCGCGTGCCCGTAGGCCGCGGCCAGGGGCATCAGGTCCTCGGGCGGGAAGCCCCGGAAGCTGTACTTCTCGTACTGCCCCGCGGCGCTGCCCAGCAGCAGCCACAGCAGCCCCCACGCCGCCCGCCCCATGGCCGCGCCGCGCCGGCCGGCTGCCCCGGGCTGAGCAGGCGTCCAGGCCCCGCGGGCGGGCGGGGGCGCCGAGGGGGCCGGGAGGGGGCGCCCGCTGGGTCTTAGCGCCGGGCAGCGGCGTCAGGAGGGCGGAGTCGAGGTCTGGGTCTGCTCCCCCGAGGGGCAGAGGGCCCCCTAGTACCGACTCCACTACGTTGGCGACCTCCTGCCCTTGGGGGTCTTCCCCTTGACAGACTGTAAGTGGGTGGAGGAACGCTTCGCGCAGAGATGGGGGCCCGCAAAGCTCCTCCCCACACAAAGACAGTCCCCCACTTTAAGATCAAGACATTGAGGGAACGCCGCCTCCACCAATCTGTCCAAACCTTGGCATCTAGTTTTCTTTCCATTACAGAGTCCCTTCTGCTCCTTCTCCGCCCCTAGCCCTGAAGAAGTCGCTCCTAGTGTCCCCTCCCCCCCCCCGCCACTGTCCGTGACGCGAAGGCGCACTCCTGGCTTCACCCTGCACACATCACTCTCGCTGCCGCCCACCCATGTCCATCCCCGCGCGGGATCGTCGTGACTGTCTAGCTTTTGCGGGACCACGCAGCTCGATCCTGGAGAGGCCATCCTTGAGACAGTGGGGATGCAGGGCGGGGAGAGTACCCAACACCCCCTCAGATTCTGGGGCCTCACCAGCCACCTGAGAGGCCTAGATTTGGGGGTGCCAGCGAAAGAAACAGGGATGCCTCAGCCCGGCTTTAGGACCCGGGAGCTCCGGAAAAAAAAGACACTGAACTTTTCTTTTTTCTCTTTTAATGGGAGTCAGCTCCGACTTCTCTGCTTTCCCGAACCTCCCTCCCAGGCCAGGGCCCCAGGACGCTGAGTCCCGGGAGATAGGGAGGGGGGGATCTGGAGTCCTTTGTGGTGCATTCCTGGACTCCAACACTCAGCCTCACCCCCTCCTCCTATTCCACCCTCCGTCCCCCGCCCCGCCAGCTCGGTCTCCCCTGCCCCCATTCCACGTGGACCAGCCAGGGCGGGGGTGGGGACCGAGGACAGGAAGGGGGGGAGCCAGCTCCGGGAGGAGGGGGAAAGGAGGTTGTCGGCGGCTACTCCCTCTCTCGCCCTCACTGTCGGCGGTCCCAGCTCCAGGCACGATGTTCCCCGCGGCGCCCAGCAGCCGCTCCTTCCTCCGGCTCCCCCTGCTGCAGTTGCTGCTGCTGCTGCTGGTGCAGGCAGTGGGGAGGGGGCTGGGCCGTGCTAGCCCGGCCGGGGGCCCCCTGGAAGATGTAGTCATCGAAAGGTACCACATCCCCAGGACCTGTCCCCGGGAAGTGCAGATGGGGGATTTTGTTCGCTACCACTACAACGGCACTTTCGAGGATGGCAAGAAGTTTGACTCGAGGTAATGGGTTGGGTGCCCCCAGACTCGCCACTCCCCTCGGGGCCAGGCTGTCTTCATCCTGGGGATCCTTAATTGCCCTTTAGGCTGTGTCTGCATCTCCTACTTACTCCATGATCTTCTAAACCCTAACACAACACCCCGAGGATGGCGGCTCCCAGACCTTCCCAAAGACAGCTCTGCCTTCAATTTCAAACCCTCACCTCTTAACCCCAGTTTCTTTCACAACAAACTCCCCACATTCCCCAAAGTGTCTGATGATCACGGTGAAATGCTCTCTTTACTTACCAGTGTTTTATTTAAAGACATGGCAGGGAGGAGGTTCTGGTGTCCAGGGTTGGGGGGGAAGGGCATGGTCCCTGCTCCCTGTGAATCCTCCAGTGGTCTCAGCCTGGGACCCCCTCCCTTTCCACCCAGGCTGAATCCCTTCTGGTTCCAGCCCCAGGTTTCAGTGCCTTTGTAACCAGAGAAGAGTCAATAGAACTTTTTTAGAGGCGGTGGGGGTTATGAGCAACTAGCATGTTAAAGAAGGGTGATCATTATAGACAGCAGGATGGATCTAGGAGTGTAGGGCATAGCTCCGTGTAGGACAGATGGGGACCCTATCTGTCTACGTGTCACATGGTTGGGCATTGACCCCCTGGGCTCCACTGAGGGTTCTCATACCTCCCTTTCTGGGTCTCCCTGCACCCCCCACCTCCCTCCATCTTCGCTCTATCAGACCAGGGCAGCCGCCCATCTTGCCAGGCTTGGGGTTTGAGGGATGGGCTTCTGATCTGATCGGGCCTTTTAGTCTGGGCAGGGCTACACGTCAGCCTCAGTTAAACCTCAGGTCCCAGTCACACACCACATCCTAAGAAGTCAGTCCCTCTTAGACCCTTTCCCAAAGCACACAACTCAGCCCACAGGGAAATTAGTGGCCATGGCTTTGGAAGGCAGGCAGTTGTATTAAGAACATGAACTCCAGAGTCCAAGACCCTGGGTTCAAATCCAGCCAAAGACCATGGAGAAGGGATTATGTGTCTTTAAGCGTCATGTCCCTTATCTGAAAAAATGGAGATTAAAAACAATCTGAAAAATTAAGTCCTCCCTTCCTAAGGCTGATAATAGGGCTCAAGCAAGATGATGAATGAAAGAACTTCGCATAGTGCTTGAAAATACCAAAGCAAGTTCAGGGAACATTAGCCTTGGCTCTGGGGAGGACTGGGTGCCCTTATCATGTTTAACTGGTAGGAGCTTTGTGTAGTGCTTGGGCCCTCACAAGAGCACTGTGAAGGAAGCAGCTCAGTGGGCAAAATTAGGTATGCACGGTGGCCAGGAGCACCGCCCAAGTCAGGGAGGGGTTGGAAGCAGAGGATGACTTCCTTGGTGGGATTCTAGAACCCTGGCTGGCCCCTGTTCATGCAGTGCTGAGCTTGGAAAACTTTTCCAACCCCATAACCCCTTTGATGAAAATAAAAATCTCTCAGGGCACCTGGCTGGCTCAGTCAAAAGAACACGCATCTCTTGATCTTGGAGTCATGAGTTCGAGCCCCATGTTGGAGGTAGAGATTACTAAAATATAAATGAAATAAACCTAAAAAAATAATTTAGGGGTGCCTGGGTCGGTTAAACGTCACTTCGGCTCAGGTCATAATCTCACGGTTCGGTTCTTTTTTTTCATGCTTATTTATTTATTTATTTATTTTTGAGAGAGAGAGAGAGAGAGAGCGCGTGCACGTGTGAGAGCGAGAGTGAGAGAACGAGGGGGGGCGGGGGGGGAGGCGCAGAGAGAGAAGGAGACAGGATTTGAAGCAGACTCTGTGCTGAGAGCCCGTCGTTGGGCTCAAACGAACCATGAGATCATGACCTGAGCCAAAGTCAGAGGCTTAACCAATTGAGCCACCCAGGTGCCCCTCATGGTTCAGTTCTTGGAGAGCCCACTTCGGATCCTCTGTCTCCCTCTCTGCCCCTTCTCCCCTCCCTCACATGTTCATGTTCTCTCAAAAATAAACAATTACAAATATAAAAAATAAAATAATTGAAAAAAATTTTAGGGGCTCCTGGGTGGATCAGTTCGTTGAGCATCCGACATTGGCTCAGGTCATGATCTCATGGTTCTTGAGTTCGAGCCCCGCATTGGGCTCTGTGCTGACAGCTCAGAGCCTGGAACCTACTTCGGATTCTTTGTCTCCCCCTCTCTCTCTGCCCTTCCCCCACTTGTGCGCACTCTCTCAAAAATAAATAAAGAGTAAAAAACATTTTTTAAATAAAAATCTCCCATCCTCCCTAGCTTCTGAAAACTTAAAACTGTGACTAAAAGCAAATAAAAGCCCAGGGTGCCTGGGTGGCTCAATTAGTTGAGGATCTGACTCTTGATTTGGGCTCAGGTCATGATGCCAGTGTGGGATCAAACCCCATATCAGGTTCTGCACTGAGTATGGAGCCTGCTTGAGAAGCTCTCTCTCTCAAATAAAAGCCAATAAAAGTCAAGAGATACACACTTCCAATTATAAAATAAATAAGCCATAGGGATATGATGTATAGACAACAGTATTGTATTAACTTTGTACAGTGACAGATGTTAATTAGACTTATTATGCTGATGGTGTATGTAAATGTCAACTCACTACGTTGTACACCTGAAACTAAAATAATCTTGTATGTCAATTATACTGCAACAAAAAATAATAACTAAAAGTAAAATAAAATAAAAACAAAAGCCATGGCAATTTTAGAATAGGCCTTTTCAGAATTGGAAACCAGCCCCTACCCTCTGCCAGCTGTGCTTCCCCTTCTTTTCCCGGGATGGTGAAGTGACACGAACACGGAGTTCAGCAGACCACAGACTCGCTGTGTGACCTTGGGCAAGTCATTTAGTTTCTTGTCTCAATTTTTGTCATAAGAAAAGTGAAACCAGGGGCGTCTGGGTGGCTCAGTTGGTTAAGCGTCCGACTTCAGCTCAGGTCAAGACTTGCCTGTCAGCCGGGAGCCCACTTCTGATCCTGTCTCCCTCTCTCTGCCCTCCCCCACACGTGCTCTGTCTCAGAAATAAACATAACATTTTTTTTTTTTTTCAGAAAAAGGAAAACAATAATGCCCATTTCCCAGGGGAAAGAATTAAGCAGGTGATTGTAAAAGGCGAGCGTTTATCTGGCACACCGTAAATCCACAATAAATGTTCCGCTTCCCATTTGCACCCCTTTGCTGTCAGCAGAGAGTGGAGGTCCCGGGCCTGCAGGGACGTCCCCGGCCCCCACAAATAAAAGCTCCTGGCCTCCTGGGGGGCCCCTCCTGTGTGACAGCCCATCCTATTAAGGTGGGAGTCATGGCTGACATAGGAGGGATGCTTGAAGAGGAGACAGGAGCACCTGTGTATAGGGAGGGGGATTGAGTGTGTGTGTGTGTGTGTGTGTGTGTGTGTGTGTGTGCATGCACACGTGCACCTGTGCATGTATGCGACCGTGACCAGAGGCCACCGTCTCCCATCTGTTTCCGCTCTCCCCCAGCTATGACCGAAGCACCTTAGTGGCCATCGTGGTGGGCGTGGGGCGCCTCATCACCGGCATGGACCGAGGCCTCATGGGCATGTGTGTCAACGAGCGGCGACGCCTCATTGTGCCTCCCCACCTGGGCTATGGCAGCATCGGTGTGGGTGAGAAGGGTTGGGGCACAGGCATGGGGACCGAGGAGACCAGGAATCAGAATCAAGGACCCCAAGGCCAGAAAACTGAAGCTCAGAGAGGGAGAGTGACTTGCCCAAGGTCACACTGCATGTGCAGTGCGAATAGTGGCAGGTCTGGGAGTGGGATTTCAGTCTCCTGTCCCTGGAGTTGGGGGACAGGGAATGACAGGGCCCTGGGTGGAATCAAAGCTTGACTAGGGAGAGGGGGCACTGGGAGTGGTGGAGGAGGGGCCAAGCAGGACGTTCACGTGTCCATTCCACCTACCACCTTTGAGACCACGTGAGGGCTGGAGGGAGTTCTGGGCCCCCAGGGACTGTGGCATGGTGAGGGGTCTGGGAGAGCTGCACCGAACATGACTGTGGCTGCTGGGCCCTCACAGCGGGGCTCATTCCTCCGGATGCCACCCTGTACTTCGATGTGGTCCTGCTGGATGTGTGGAACAAGGCAGACACTGTGCAGGTGAGCACCCTGCTGCAGCCAGCGCACTGTCCCCGCACGGTCCAGGACAGTGACTTTGTCCGCTACCACTACAACGGCACGCTGCTGGATGGCACCGCCTTTGACACCAGGTGAGGGCTGGAGGGAGTCCTGGGGGGCTGGGGACTGTGACATGATGTGGAGTGTGTCCGAGTCCCACCGGCCTCTCCCACCTCCCACAGCATCACTTCTACCTCATTCTCCGCAGCTACAGTAGGGGTGGCACTTATGACACCTACATTGGCTCCGGCTGGCTGATCAAGGGCATGGATCAGGGGCTGCTGGGCATGTGTCCTGGAGAGAGAAGGAAGATCATCATCCCTCCATTCCTGGCCTATGGCGAGAAAGGCTACGGTGAGGACAGACAGGGACTTGGGGATTCCTCAGAGGAGGGCTGCCACATACAGTTGTTCAGGTTGTGTGCTGCACAAGGGCACTCAGCCAAGGAGGCAATGAAATCTAGCTCTTGGTGATGACCTCACTAAGAAGGGGTGCTTTATTCTGATTCACACAATCATTTAGGATGGGCTGGTGGTGGCCCTGGGGAAAATCCAGCTCACACCTTACAGGAGGAGCAAGAAACAGGGCTGCTGAGGGCAGGCAGGGGTCTCTGGAGAGCAGAACTGGCACCTTTTTGCAGGGTGCCCACATGGGCCTTCCTGAGTCAAGAAGGAGCCCTGGTTGTACCACTCGTATGGTTCAAGTCTATCCCTTCCCCAGGGACTGTGATCCCCCCACAGGCCTCCCTGGTCTTCCACGTGCTACTGGTTGATGTCCACAATCCGAAGGACACCATCCAGCTGGAGACGCTGGAGCTTCCCCCTGGCTGCCTTCGGAGAGCTGTGGCTGGAGACTTCATGCGTTACCACTACAACGGCTCACTGATGGACGGCACCCTCTTTGATTCCAGGTGTGTGTTTGGGGGGGGGGATCTGGAGGAGGAAGTTGGGGCCTGGGAGGAAGGCACAAGAAGCTGAGGCAGGGTCTGGGGTCACCCCGGCCCACAGCTGGAAGGGCAGGGGCTCCTTTGACCCCCCCCAGCCCGCCCTCCCTGCTTTGTCTTGCAGCTACTCCCGCAACCACACCTACAACACCTACGTGGGGCGGGGTTACATCATCCCCGGGATGGACCAGGGGCTGCAGGGTGCCTGCATGGGGGAGCACCGGAGGATCACCATCCCCCCCCACCTCGCCTATGGGGAGAACGGGACCGGTAGGCATGTCCCTGTGCTCTGTGCTCAAAGTCACCGCCTCAGCAGCCCCACAGACCCCCTCCCGACCTCCCCACCGAGGGCCATTCAGCCGCCGCTCTGCCCCTCTCACCACGAAACCCATCACCCACCCACCTCTGGCCACGCGGACTCCATCACTTTCTCCAGGGGCTGCCCCCACTTCTCCCTTCCATACTGGAGAAGGGCAACCGACTCCTGAGTTGGGGAGGCGGAGGTGGCTATGGAAGGACAGAAACAGCGTAGCCTTAGGAAGCAAAGAAACCTGGACCTGAGACCCAGCTTTGCTGGAAGCCTCAGCGTCCTCACCTGTAAAATGGGACTAATGACATTGGCCGCCAGGGTACATTACTGGGAGGTTGCAAGATGGTGTGTGTGGAGGGCTTGCTAACCGGCATGGCCCTCCCCTCCGCTGCCCCTCTCCCCAACAAGAGGTACTGAAGAAGAATTGACCCTGGGGACAAACAGCCCAGCCCAGCCTCATTTGAAAACACAGGGCAGGGGAGGTCTAGGGGCCTCCGTGGAGGCCTGAGCAGTCCCTCCTGGATTCTGAGCCGATCCACTCCCCGTTCTGGCCCCAGGAGACAAGATCCCTGGCTCCGCGGTGCTGATTTTTGACGTCCACGTCGTTGACTTCCACAACCCTGAGGATCCTGTGGAAATCAAGATACTGTCCCCGCCCCCGGAGACCTGCAACGAGACCGCCAAGTCTGGGGACTACGTTCGCTACCACTACAACTGCTCCCTGCTGGATGGCACCAAGCTCTTCTCCTCGTGGGTCCGGGGCAGGGCCAGGGCTGGGCAGGTGGGTGGGCCCAGGCGCGGGGGAGTCCTCCCGCGAGCACCTCCACATGTGCTTCCTTCCTAAGTTCCCGTCCAGCGAGCAAGGGGTGGGGCACGAGGAGCTGACACTTTACCGGCGGGACAGGGAGGGCAAAGCTGGCAGTCGAGGGGGCTGCTGGCTCTGTCTGTGGAGGGGACACCAAAGCAGGGAGAGGGGAGCCCTCCAGGCCACCCTTCAGGATGAGGACGACGTCGTGGGTCTCGCGCTCTGCTGCATGGGGCGGGCACCAGAAGTGACTGGGAACCTGGGCGGGCTGGGCCACGCTGGGGTGTGAACTGGCACGGGGACGAGGATGGGTGCTGAACCGGGACTCTGCTCTCCCCCCAGCCACGACTACGGGGACCCCCAGGAGGCCACTCTGGGGGCCAACAAGGTGATCGAAGGCCTGGACACGGGCCTGCAGGGCATGTGTGTGGGGGAGAGGCGGCAGCTCGTGGTGCCCCCGCACCTGGCACACGGAGAGAGCGGAGGTGAGGGGCACACTGGTCCTTTGCCCCCCGCCCGCCTCGGGCCTGCGCAGACGGTGGGAGGAGTGAGGGAAGCCTTCCCAGTGGTTCTGGAAACACCCCATGTGCCCAGTAGGGGAGACTGAGGCGTGTGGGCTGCGGGGCACACTGGGCTCAGACCCTGACCTGACGGGGCCGCTTCCCTTCTGTCCTCCGTCCCTCCAGCCCGGGGTGTCCCTGGGAGCGCAGTGCTGCTGTTTGAGGTGGAGCTGGTATCTCGGGAGGAGGGGCTGCCCACAGGGTACCTGTTTGTGTGGCACGAGGACCCTCCCGCCAACCTGTTTGAAGGCCTGGACCTCAACAAGGATGGCGAGGTGCCCCCGGAGGAGGTGGGTGAGCTCACTCCCAATAACCATTTCCATGCGGTCACCCCAGCAGAAGCCACCACTCTGCGTGGTGGCATCCAACAAACAGTATACATCTGTTGTCCTGTCTGTGCCTGCTTCTGCCCCTGCGCTGGGTCGCTCGCTGTGCCTTCTTCGTGCAACCCTGCCCACCTCGCCCCTCCCACCATGCTGCTGACCTCCACACCCACTCAGGAGGCTCTTCTCTCTGTGCCTCCCTGTGCCCCAGGGCCCTTCCCAAGGCCACCCACTCAGGCGAGACCCTCACTCCCCTCTCCCCTTGCTCTCTTGGCTCCTAGTTCTCCACCTTCATCAAGGCCCAAGTCAGTGAGGGCAAAGGACGCCTCATGCCTGGGCAGGACCCGGAGAAAACCATCGCAGACATGTTCCAGAACCAGGACCGTAACCAGGATGGCAAGATCACCGTCGAGGAGCTTAAACTGAAGTCGGACGAAGACCAGGAGCGCGTCCATGAGGAGCTCTGAAGGGCAGGCGCCTGGGCCCAGATGCAAAGGCCCACTTCTCGAGGGGGTGGGGGGACAGTGGGCGGTGGCGCTGACCTTCCCAGTCACCCTCCCCTGTGCCGGCATGTGCTCTAGGAGCATCTGAAAAGCGGTCAGAGATGACTCTGGTCTTGCCACCAGCCCGAGTACAATCCACAGCACAGACCTCTATTCAGTTTTTCCCTTCCCAGCCCACAGCCCTCCCTTACACGTTTTTGGAGTCACAAAGCCAGTCGGTGATTGGTGGAGTCTAGGGGTGGGATGGGGCCACTGCCGGCCCCTGGCCCATGACCCCCTCCGCGTCACCAGACGGTGAACATGGCCGGCCGAGCCCATCATTTCTTTATTTCCCCAATCTTCCCTTTTATCCGTACTTTTCTTTGCCATCCCCAGGCATCCCCTCCAGCCCCCATTCCTGTGTCAAAGCGGCTCCCAGGAGCATGAACCAGGACTCACCAGGCCCTCAGCCTTCCTCTCAGCTCTGGCTGGCTTCCAGGGAGGGCAGCCCCCCGACCTGCCCCATCCCCCGTCACCTGTCCCCCCACACCTATCCCATCCCCCCTCGCTACATCCAGTAGTGGCCGAAGGCCCCTGGGGTGCCGCAGTCAGGTCTGGGCTTGGCATGGCCTTTCATCCCTGAAGAGGGCTGCCTTCTCTAAGGGGCAGAGAACAGGAAGGATACAAAGGATCCTGGGATGGGTCTCAGGGCTGGGAAATCCTTGTTTCAGGATGGAGTTAAACTCAGAAGAGGGGCTCGTGTGGGGTGGGCAGCGCTCTGCACACTCAGGGCTAAATTGGTGTCAGATCCCTTTCTCTCCTTTGTGCCAAATAAAAGACTAAACCAAACACCTCAGGCTGTGCTGTCATTGTGCATATGGCGGGGAGGCCCTTAGACCCAAAGACTGGGGAAGAAAGGGGAACAAAGCAGGTGGTCTCTCCGCACCTCATCAGTTCAAGACCCCGTGTGCCTAGGTCTCAGCCCCCTGCCTCCTGAGGCCTAACCAGGGCCCTGCGCAAGGAAAGGGAGCCCCAGCCTGCCGGAACCATCCCAGCTGACCGGAAAGTGGCGGTCTCTGACCTTAAACACGATGTATGGAACTCGGGTTATATCACACTGCACAGGGCACAATCCTCTCCTCCATGCAAACTGGTCCCAGTACCAGGCTAACCCTGCATCTCCGTGCTCCTGGCGGCCAGCCTTTACCACCTGCCAGATCTGCCCTCCTGTCTGAGGAAAGGTGACAGAGTTCCAGTCTCCAGTGTGTTGAGGGAGGGGCTGCTCAGCTGGCGGGCAGGCCGTCTGCCCCTCCCCCACCGGGCCAGTGCAACAGAAATGACCTGAGCCAAGAGAGGATGGGAGAGCAGGGCAGTCTTGGGAGAGAAAAAGATGGTGCTCAACTTTTTGAAGTTTTTGAAGGGAGACAGGAAAGAAGCTAATGATGCAAGATGACAGCAGAACTCACTCCCGCCTCACTGTCACAGAGCGCCTTCTCCGTTCAGGTCCCGGTCTTGACTCTCCTTAATCAAGTCACCCATCTTAGTGGCCCCGGATCCCTTTGGGGGTCCATAAAGAGGGAACTCTGCAGATAGGATTGGCCAGACCCAACTGATCGTAACGGAATTTCAAGTTTAATGGATACCTCAGCATAGAGTCAAATGATTCCAGGTCAGAAACACACCCTTCCAACCCTGCCTGCCCACCCTGATCCCCAGGCACATTCCGGCTGTGCTCAGAGGGCCTTGTGTGTGAATTCACTGCTGCTGTTTTAAAGATTTTATTTTTTAAGTAATCTCGACACCCAACATGGGGTTCGAACTCATAACCCCGAGATCAAGAGACACACGCTGCACTGCCCGAGCCGGCCGGGCACCTGTGAATTCGGTGGTTTTGAAATTCTGTGCCATAGAGCCCTAGTGACTTCCTGGAGATTCCTGCTCCTCCCAGACTGAGAGGCACGGGCTCTGCCCCGCACCCCCTGAATCAGAACAGCTGTTTTTTCCCGTTTTTATTTGGATCTGTTTCACACATGAGATATGAAGAATGGCTCTCCATGTTTAAAAATCCAGGGGGGGAAAGAACCCCTGGACTCGATGGGCCCTGGTTAGGGTGCTAACACCCTGCAGGTGCCATGTTCACCTGGTGGCCCCCTCCCCCACGGAGCCTGGCTTCGGGGAGCCTCGGCGCTGGGAGGGTGAGGGAGGGGCACGGGCTCAGCAGCTGCACCACCTGGACTGTTCTCTGCCCGCACTGGGAGGAGCAGCGCCCTCTGCAGGGCGGCCTCTGGGCGAGGCTCCCTCCTCCCCACAGCCCCCCACCCCGCGCCTGCACTCAGGAGCCCTGCATCTCCATCCAGTCCCCGCGGTGCAGGATATGCTGCAGCAGCCCGTTGACCACGTCCAGCGTCTCGTCCTTCTCCAGCACGATGTCATAGGAGTCCATGTAGCGTTCCCGCCGCTCTTCCACCTGCCCCGGGGAAGGGAAGGTCCAGAGTCCCCAGAAGGCCCGGACTTCTGCCTCTGCCTCCCGGATACCCGGGGCAGGAGAAGGAGGGCCTTTGAGCTGCAGCGCCCCGTTACAGGGACCTGCCCTTTGGATGGCTGTGGGTACAGGTGCCACAATGAACCCTTGGCTCCGTGTCCAAAGGACAGTGCGAGGATTAAAATGTAAATGCCAGACGTTACTTGTAACCCATCTGGACTGCATTTTCACAAGGCTCAAGCACTCTGGAGGTCAGCCCCTGCTGGCTGAGGGGAGGCCTGGGGGCCTTCTAGCCTGACCCCATACCGTGCCCCCTTCGGACCCTAAGTTTTCAGCCCCTGTCAGCCTCTGGCCGGTCCTTGTGTTTTTGTTCTCTACACTGTAAACCCGCCTGAATCCTGACATCTCCCATCTCACTTATACCTTACAGGTGGGACCTAGAAGGGCTGTCATCAGCTCTACCGGATCCTAAACTATGTCACCTTGGGCAGAGTAACCTCCTTGCCTCAGTTTCCCCATCTGTAAAACGAGGCCTATCGGTGTCTACCTCACAAAGTTCCTGTAGGGATTAAATGGGCTAAAATGCCTGGCATGTGGTGGCACTAAAGAGTAAGTGCAGGCTCCGGTGGCCTTATCTCTGAGTCCCACCATCATGCCACGTGCCGAAGGCAGCCGTCATCGTGGAGTATCTCTTTTGTTTTCCTGTGAATGTGGCTTGTAGCTTTCCTTAGTACCTCTGGTACTTGACAGTGACTAGCAGGCAGAAGGTGTTTGCTAGGCATTTGTTAACAGGGATTGAAAATGAAGGAAGCGGGGCGGGGGGTGGGGGCGCCTGGGTGGCTCAGTCAGTTAAGTGTCTGATTCTTGATTTCAGTTCAGGTCCTGATCTCGTGGTTGGGTCGAGATCAACCCACATTGGGCTCTGCGCTATTAGCAGATTCTCACCTTGCCCCTCCCCTGCTCAAGCTCAGAGACTCACATGCGCTCTTTCTCGCTCTCTCTCTCTCTCTCTCAGAATAAATAAACTTAAAAAAAGATTCAAAAAGACAAAGAAGCAAGCCACAAAGATAAGGTCTGGTCCCATACCCACCTTGTCATTTAGGAAGCCAATCTTGAGAATGTTCTCCACACCAGGAACCCCATCGGCCATGGTGAGGTCCCCCATGGAGTCCCCCAGCAGGAGGATGTTGGTTTTGCCCTGAAGCTGCTGGAAGTACCCAGAATTCTCACAGACGGAGCTGTTCTTGTTGTAGGTGTGTATGAGTTGGCCCTTGAATCCCTGTAGGAAACCCTAAACAATCAAGAGACAGACAGAAGGGCTAGAGGGACCCGGCTAGAGCCAGTGTCCCACTGTCCCTCTGTCGCAGAGGAAAGGGAACCCTGGAAGCCACAGAAATGCCAAAACCTCGCTGTGGTCTACGCTAGGGGGCAGCAAACTGGGTCCTGTAGGCCAGATTGGGCCCATTTTTCTAATTTACGTGTTACTGGAATACAGCCAGGCTCATTTATTTACGTCTTGTCCGCGGCTACTTGTTCTTTCACAGCAGAGTTGAGTAGTTGTGACAGAACATAAAGTCCACCCCACAAAGCCTAACATATTTACTGCCTGGCCTTTTACCAAAAAAGTTTGTCACCCCTGATTTAAACTAACAAGGGCCGTCAAATATTACTGATCGCCTCCTCTGGTGGAAGCACGAAGCCCATGAAACAGGCACTGTCAGGCTACATGTGTGCTACTCCTCAGCTGTGGGTCACGTCCTTGCCACATGTTAAAGGATGAAAATTCCAGCCACTGGTTTTCAGGGGAAGAAGTCAGAGCAAGGGTGAGTCGGAGCAGCTGACCTCTGGCTCCAGGAAAACAAGTCCAAGTCTAAGTCCTTAAGTACCTAGGATGGCACAAGGCCTGGGACAGTGACATGGGGCCTGGCTGTCGGCTGTCAGCCAAACACCAAAGGGTAGGTCCTTCAGAAGTAACCGTCTCTAGGGGCGCCTGGGTGGCTCAGTGGGTTAAGCATCCGACTTTGGCTCGGGTCACGATCTCACGGTTTGGTTCATGAGTCTGGGCCCCGTGTCAGGCAGTGCGCTGACAGTTCAGAGGCTGGAGCCTGCTTCAGGCTCCCCCTTCCGGCCCCTCCCCAACTTGTGCAAGCGCACACGTGTGCTCTCTCTTTAAAAAATAAAAACAAACAAAAAATGAAGAAAGAACTGCCTTGAACTGGCATAAAGAAAGAAAGAACTGCCCAAGGGCAAGAAGCCAGCATACTCTCCCTCCCCAGATCAGGGTTAACGGTGCGGGTGCGGCCCCCAGGGCTGGCGCCCCCCCACCCCTCTTCCATCCCCAGCCTAAACAAGAGCGGGCTCACATCTTCGTCAAAGTCCATGTAGTTAGACACAATGTGGATGTTGGGGTGGAACACCTTCATCTGTCGGATAATCTCCTCTAGGATGTCACCAATGCCCGCAGAGAAGATGAACAGCGGAACATTGTTCTGGTAGAGGGTGTTGAAGAATGTCTTGTATCCCTCCCTGAAAAGAGATGAATGGATTCTGCCTCTTCTTCCGGTTTTTCTTTTCTAAGGGGTGATACAGTTTTCAATTCTTTCTTTTTAAAAACATTTTATTTTTTTATTATTTTGTAATGTTTTATTTATTTTTGAGAGAGAGAGACAGACAGACAGCGTGAGCAGGGGAGGGTCAGAGAGAGAGGGAGACACAGAATCCGAAGACAGGCTCCAGGTTCCGAGCCGGCTGCCAGCACAGAGGCCGACGCGGGGCTCGAAGCCACGAACCGTGAGACCATGACCTGAGCCGAAGTCAGACACTTAACCCTAAAACATTTTAAAGTGACGTATAAAATATGTATAGTAGGGGCACCTGGGTGGCTCAGTCGGTTAAGCGTCCAACTTCGGCTCAGGTCATGGTCTCATGGTTCGTGGGTTCCAGCCCCGCGTCGGGCTCTGTGCTGGCAGCCGGCTCAGAGCCTGAAGCCTGTCTTCGGATTCTGTGTCTCCCTCCCTCTCTGACCCTCTCCTGCTCACGCTCTCAGTCTGTCTCTCTCAAAAATAAATAAAACATTAAAAAAATTTTTTTTAAAAAGGGTGGGAAATCTTTCAGCTGTATCCAGAGGGGAAAAGCAAAGCCTTCTTTGCATCAGCCACTCATGGTGCTCTGTCTCTTCTGACTCTCCCAGCAACTAACTCCCCTCCACTCCTTCCTAGACTCTTTTTTTGTGAGCAAACCAGTTTCAAAGAGTTTCCAGGGCAAGAAGCTCACCTAAGCATTGCATTGGACTCTCTAACCACCTGGGCGATTTGAAATTTCTGAATCTTCTGCTGGCACAGGAGATCATGAGCTTTGGTCCACCTAAAAAGGACACCCCACAAAAGACCAAGTTCAAATCACTAAGTAAGTAAAGTGTCCTTTCTCTTTTCAGGGCCAAGTGCCCTTCTGGAAAGATTAATGGAGGCCTCATCCTATCCCCCCAAGTCACTTCCTGAAGCCTGTGGCTGTCCTTAAAAGGAAGAGGGTAAGAAAGCCACACTACAGCCACAGGAACAAGGGTTGGGTGAGCTAACTGCTAAAGTCACAGCCCTTCTGAATCCCTCCCTCGGTGACCCCCACGTTCTGGGGAACTGGGGCTCCGTCCAGCAATACGGGTTCCTACAGGAGAGTTATCTCCCAAAGCACTTGTCCCTCCAAACCAAGGGGCTTCGGCCTCATTCCAAGGACTCTCAGTGGGACCCCACTCTAGCAGCAGCCACAGGTCGCCCCACCGTGGCTGGGCAGTTTGTTCTAATAGGTAGACCAGTCCACCGCGAGGGCCAGGAGCGTTCCGTCACTTACCATTCCACCATATGAGGTAACTTCTCTTTGATGGTCCGGTGTGGGTCAATCTCAATTGGGTAATAGTGGTGAAGGAGCGCGGTGAGCTGGACACCCAAATGAAGACAAAAGCCGTTAGGCCGCATTGAGTTTTCCCCAGCAAAGTCCCACAGTTTAGCGTGAGAACATAATCACCTAGAAGACGCAACTCTGTGTAAGGGAGTGACCGATCTGCAAGGCTGGTCATCCCTTTGCACTCATCCTTAGAGCGTGAGGTCTAAGAACCAAGACCTTGTGCTATTAGGTGAGAAGTTACTAGGATTTTGTTGTTATCGCTAACTCAGCCAGCAGGGTTTAACCAGTAGGAAGGGATCAATGTTATATTTCCCCAAATGGGATACACTTTTTCAGGGGGTAGGCAAGGTAACTTTAGGGGATATGTGGATAAACACTTCTCGTTTTAGTAGTTTTAGATTCATTGTAATGCATATGAAGGAAAAAAAAAAAAAAACCTAGCATATCAAACTCATGCTTTCGCAAAGATTGTTTCTTCTCTAAGTGAACTGCATTCAGATTTTTATTTTTATTATATGTTTTTATTAAAAAATTTTTTTGATGTTTATTTGAGAGAGAGAGAGAGAGAGAGACTGCAAGCGTGCAGGGGATGGGCAGAGAGAGAGGGAGACACAGAATCTGAAGCAGGCCCAAGGCTCCAAGCTGTCAGCATAAAGCCTGACGCGGGGCTCAAACCCATGATTTGTGAGATCATGACCTGAGCCGAAGTCCATCACTTAACCCACTGAGCCACCCAGGAGTCCCCTTTTTAAATTTTTTAATGTTTATTTATTTTCGAGAGAGAGACAGAGCACAAACTGGGTAGGGGAAGAGAGAGACAGAGTCACAGAATGTGAAGCAGGCTCCAGGCTCTGAGCCATCAGCACAGAGCCTGACACGGGGCTCGAACTCACAAGCTGCGAGATCATGACCTGAGTCGAAGTAGGATGCCCAACTACCCAGGCACCCCTCGGATTTTTAATAATAGGCCAATTTAAAGTAAAATATGTAGTAAAAATCACCAAGATATGGGAAAAATCATGGAAGTGGAAGTAGAAATATCATGGAAGTCAGGTTTGGGCCATAGCGTGTTAGCGGATACCCATCACCATGCCAGTGTTGGGTGGACCACGTCACAAGTGCTTACATGTGCCTCCTCTTACTAAGATCTCCTTCCACAGGCCAGGACCTTTGACTGGCTAGGGAGGCCACTTTGGGGGCCATGTGTGACACAAAGTCCTGTCAGTAACAGTTCCCAATAAAAATGGGAACTGCCTGGGTAAAGAACTTTCATTTTAATAGATGCACAATCTCAGAATACTAAGAGATCAAATATGGAGTCCCTGACCACAGTTCCAAAAGAGACTTAAATATGAAGATCACAGACAAAGGGAGAAAGCTCCCGAAATGTATTGAGGTTCTCAATGTATGTGTTTTTTTTGGGGGGGGAACAACATTTTTCTAAAAGCATAAGAGAATTCAACAGAATAGCATTTTTAAAAAAGAAAAAAGGCTTCATCCATAAGCTTTGCTTCATGACTTTTTTCAGGAGGTCCTCAGCACCCAGAATCTTAGTCTTCCCTGGCCTCGTTATCCTCGAGAGGGTACCCTGCTGCCTTATTTGTGCTTTAGGGAAGCTGATAAGATCAGACATGTAGAAAGCACAAAAAGTGACTTGCCAAAGGTAATCGGTGCTGGCGCAAGAACTTACATTAAGCTAAGAAGAGTGCATCTCCAAAGAGACAGGTTTTAGAAAAGTAAGTTAGCTATAATTTGTTGCCCATCTTAATAGCAAGTAATCATGACAGAGTATTGAAAGAGCTGACCAATGACAGACCGACTGACCACTTAGTATGCAATTCAGTGAATTTTTTTTTTTTTTTAAATTTTATTTATTTCTAGGAGAGAGAGAGACAGCGTGAGCAGGGGAGGGTCAGAGAGAGAGGGAGTCACAGACTCTGAAACAGGCTCCAGGCTCTGAGCTGGCAGTCAGCACAGAGCCCGACGCGGGGCTCGAACCCACGAACCGCGAGATCATGACCTAAGCGAAAGTCGGACGCTTAACCGACTAAGCCATCCAGGCGCCCCAATAATGCAATTCAGTGAATTTTCTAACGAAGTGAAGCTAAAGGATAGAGTTATTTGGCAGCAAGAGCTCAGCAAACCGCAGAGAGACGTGCAGCCAGCCTGGCTCAACTCTTCATATCATCAAAGAAAGAGCACAATGCAGTGAAACGTGTTTGGGACAGAATCGGATCTATGCGAAAACCAAGCTCTCCATGTCTTGCATATGACCCTTGGAGGACTTGCTTATTCTTTCCAAGCCTCTGTTTTCTCATCTGTTAAATGGAGGTAATAACGGTTCTCTCCATCCCTCAGAGCTGCGGGAGGATGAAATAGAAAATGTTGAAGTCCCTTGTAAACTCCACAGCTAGCAGGAGGCAGAACATCTATATTCTAACCACCAATCATCACATGTCTTGGACATAAAGGAAACATATAAGAACAGCAATTTTTTAAAAACTAATCTTCGAAGGTCTCTATCCTGGAGTCTTTGGTCCTGACCGAGAACCATCTGACGTAGTACCTGAGGGCCATCTCTGAACAAAGAAGGGGAGTGACGTACCTCATTCCGGCACTCCTCACTGATGATCTTGCTGTTATCCAGAATGTCTGCAAAAACACAGAACTCCTTTTATTTGCCACTTAGAATCCACCATCTTGTCAAGCCCAACAAAGCAAGCTAGGATGTGACTTACTGTAAGAAGAAGGGCATCGCTTTCCGTTATATGCAAACCTGCTCAAGGTCATGTCAAAATCAGAAATAACCTAAAATGCAAAAGAGAGATGCCATCTACACAGGCTCCTTCCAGTGTAGCCCTGTCGGGGAAGGGGGGGAGGGGGCGGCGAGAAGGGAGGTTATGCAAGGCAAAACAGCTCAGTGCCCAGTCTGTGGGCAAAGCCCTGCAGGAGTCCTGCAAGGCCAGAGGGGGAAGGCAGAACTCATCCCAGTTAGTAGCCTGCTAAGCCGGAGGAGGCCCAGCCTCTTGCCAGAGGCCGCAGGAAGAGAATCAGGACTCTGCCTCTTGCCTTGCCATCTCTATGCCCTGGGTCCTTCCCAAGGTGACCCATCACCACATCTGCAACTTCCTGGGGAGCCCGCTGACCAGGCTGGTGTGGAAATAAGGCCCCGAGGCCTGGCGCTGGGTGCTTTCGACCTAATTAGAGGAAGCAGCAGCAGGTCAGGGCTGACAAATTCGAAACCTAGGTTTCCCCGGCAGGTGGGCTCTAACCCAGGGCAAATGAGGCGGAGCAGCTTGCTTGCTCCCAGGCCGCTGGCCGTTTCTAGGGGCAGAGGGCGTGCAGTGTCCGCAGCAGCACGGGCAGGCCCCCTGGGCAGGTCACCTCCCCAGCCGCCCCACCTCGCCCCGTACCTGTAAGCGGTCTCCCCCGCCCTTGCGGAGGGCGCCCACGATCTCCTGCACCCGCCCGGGCTGCCGCATCAGGACCGTGGCCTTCATCAGGGTGCTCACCTGTCCCGAGACCCGAGAGAAGCGCTGACCCCCACGCCGCGCTGGGCCCACAGGGAGCCCGGGGCGGCTCGACAGCCCTGCGAGGCCGGGCGGGGGCGCGGGGAGCGGAGGGGGGCTCGGCCTGGCCCGCGGCGCCTACTGGCCGCGATGGCGCGGCGGGGCCCAGGCGGCCCGCTGGGGACCTCGGCGCGCCCCGGGGATCGGGGCCCGCCCCACGCCGGACGTTTCCCGCCTCACCTCCTCTGCCATGGCGCTCGCAGCCGGGACGACAGCGCCGGGACGACAGCGCCGGGACAACGACCGCCCCGCGGCCGCACTGCGCAGGCGTCGCCGGCTGCCAGGGGCCTAGGGACCCGGGGGCCGGAGGCCGGGCAGCAGGCGGGGTCGGGAGAGGGCGGCGCCCGCGCTGGGGCACCCCAGGGCTGGGGACTCTGTGTTGAGGAGGCTGAGGGTCCCAAGAGTTGAGGTTCCCGGGTACTACTGTCTAGAGCAAAACCCCTGGCCAGAGAGGTCGTTTCCTGTCTTAAAGTTTGCATGACAAGCCGCAGGAAGGGAGCGGATCTGGAAGGAGCCATTGAGTGAGTTCTGGGAGACACCCAGAAGGTGCTTAACTGGGCTGCTCATCACAGAAGAAAATGAGCGACTGACGCAAGTCCACAGGGCAGGAAGGCCCTAGACAGCTGGGCCAGCGTGAGCTCTGACCAGCTTAACTCCCTTCTGCCTCCTCTGACTTGGCTTCCTGGAAGGCAGTGTCTGGGGAGTGGAGTGCCCAGCAATGGAAGAAGGTGGCTTGACGCTACACTCACACGGTACTGGACAACTGAAGTGGGCAACAGGAACTAGAATAAATAAAAACTCATATATGGTGTGGGTGATCACAGTCCTATTCCGGATTCAAGGGCTCGGAAGGTGTGGGGTGGTCTTCAGCCTGAATGGTGGGGGAGGGGAGAAGGAAGGAGGACAGGGACAGGAGAGAGTTCCAGAATCTAAGAGCACAATCCTGAGAGTGAGCTCACTGCGGGCCCAGAATTCTGGAACTTGGGCTGCCCGATGGGCCCTATATGAAAGATGTAGTAGGGAAAAGGAGCGACAGCAGGCTAAAGGGACCCCCCACAACCCTCTCGACACCCTAGGAGAGCAGCCTCTCTCCGCTGGTCCCAGGGTGGCATGGAGATGGAGAGCATGGCGGCCTCCACACGTTTCCACCAGCCTCACATGGAGAGGAAGATGAGTGCGATGACCTGTGAGATCTTCAACGAGCTTAGACTAGAGGGCAAGCTCTGCGACGTGGTCATCAAGGTCAATGGCTTTGAGTTCAATGCCCACAAGAACATCCTCTGTAGCTGCAGTTCCTACTTTAGGTATAACAGGGTTACCAAACTAAGCGGAAGGGAGACTTGGGCTTATTCTGAGACATTCTGGTTCATTTCATGTTTCCCAACCCATCATCTTACCTTAGGGACATGGTCACAACGCCAGGCCACTGTAGCCTGGTTCCTTTGTCTTCTGAAGAGGCACACCTGGGGTCGGGCCTCTTTTCTCTGGTTTGCAACTAGATTTCCACCAACTATTGGTGGGCCAGGTGCTTTTTTCCCTTTGAGTCTCAGCCTAGCGTACCTTTGGGAAGGCACCCATACTGGATTTCCTACTTAAACCTAGAGGACAGTGCCCCTTCAGCCGCCCCTTGTGCCCTTATCCCAGTAGAGATGATCTCAAACAGGGTGATACATTAACAAGAGTTGAGGAGTCGGGAAGGAGGATGTGGGAAAGCACCAAGGAAATACTTAACAGAAGACAAAGGGAATTTGGGCCACCACCATTGTAACCCAGGAAGTGGCAGAGCTTTTTTGTTCATGAGCTGAAAATGTCTGAGTAGTCGATTCCAATGAACATTATGATAAATGTGTCCCATCTGTTGCCAAAAGTGCTCATTCACCTAGACCTACAGAAGGGTCTACAAAAAGACCAGATAGTGAGTATTTTAAGCCCTGCAGGCCATACAGCCTCTGTCACAATGACTGAACTCTGCCTTTATAGTGGGAGCGCCTCCACAGACGATACTAAATGGAAGAGCATGGCTATGTTCCAGTACAATTATTTATGGACACAGAAATTTGAATTTATTACAATTGCCAGGTGTCACAAAATCTTTGTATTCTATTCTCCCCATTAAAAAAATGTAAAAAACATCCTTAGCTTGTGGGTGCTACAGAAAAGAAGAGGTGGGCCGAAATCTGGCCCAGAAGCTATAGGTTTGTAGACCACAGCTCTCATACATATTCCCTGAAACCACCTAGAAAAAGGAAGCAAAACTTTAATAGGGCAGGGATTTCTGTTTTAATCCACAACTTAAAAAGTACCTAGCTATATAGTAGAAGCCCAATAAATAGTTTCGGGAGAGTAGTCATTTGTTCATTCAATAATTATTTATTGAGTGCCTGTTTTGTGACGGCCGCTATTCTGGGTACTGGGAATAATGAATAAAGAGATGCACATTTCTGTTCTCATGAAGCTTATCTTCTAGTAGGAGGAACAGGCATTCAATAAATAAAACACATAGCAGATTAAGTGCTGAGGGGGAGAAAAGGAAGGTACAGAGAGGAGGGTGGTGATTTTAAATAGGATGATCTCTTTGCTGACAAAATGACATTTGAGCAAAGACTTTAAGGGAATGTGGGAGTGAGAAATGAGGTCTGCGCCAGGGGAGCCTTCCAGGCAGCGGCAACAGCATGTACAAAGGACCAAAAATGAAGCGCCTCTGGTGTGTTCAAGGAAAGCAGGGCGAGTGGGACTGGAACGGAATGGGGGGGGAAGGTAGGAGGAAGTGGCCAGAGAGATATTACTGGTCCTGATCTCAGAGGACTTCAGTACTCCCTGAGAAGGGCTTTGTATACCGCTCTGAGCCAGAAGGGATGTCAGTGGAAGGTTTTGAGTGGAAGAACATAAGCTCATAAGGAGGTCGGGTTAGGACTGTAAATTCTGGAGGCACCAAGGGCCGAAGCAGGGGGATCAGTTAGGAGGTTACTCCCAATCATCTAGGTAAGAAATGATGGTGGCTTGGACCCAGGAGATAGCAGTAAGAGGTGAGGAGTGATCAGATTCTGGGTTATGTGTCGATTTAACAGTGCTCATCAAAAAGGCCTTATTGCGCCAGCTTAATTTCCTGAAGGAAGGAAGAGTTCGGCTGGGACTTACTCGCAGGTCTAAATTCCAATTTTTCCACACACAAAATGGGGGAAAGTTTTAGTTATCATGAAGATGAGAAGAGTGTCCAAAGTCAAAGTTCTTGGCAAGGTTCTCTTGCCCGCGTATAAAGCTCACACTCTGCTCTCCCCTACCCTTCCTCATGCCAATTTGTTTCCAGCATAACTTACCATGCACTATTTGGGAAATTTCCAAACCCCTCAACAAACAAAGGTGGGGGAGAAACTGGAGAGAAATGTTTCAGTGGCTACTTGTTTCTTTCTTTCTCTTTTTTTCCAGAGCTTTGTTTACGAGTGGCTGGAACAACACTGAAAAGAAGGTATACAACATTCCTGGCATTTCCCCTGACATGATGAAGCTAATTATTGAATATGCATACACCCGGACCGTCCCTATCACACCGGACAATGTGGAGAAACTGCTGGCTGCTGCAGACCAATTTAACATCATGGGTATTGTCAGGGGTTGCTGTGAGTTCCTCAAGTCGGAGCTGTGTTTGGATAACTGTATTGGCATCTGCAAGTTCACAGACTACTACTACTGCCCCGAGCTGAGGCAGAAGGCCTACATGTTCATACTGCACAACTTTGAGGAGATGGTGAAAGTTTCGGCCGAGTTTCTAGAGCTCTCAGTCAGTGAACTGAAGGATATCATTGAGAAAGACGAGCTCAACGTCAAACAAGAAGATGCTGTGTTTGAGGCCATTTTAAAATGGATTTCTCATGACCCCCAAAATAGGAAGCAGCATATTTCAGTTTTGCTTCCCAAGGTCAAGTTTAGCTATTTTTTGTGGGATGCTTAATTGCTCGTTTGGTTCACTTATCCTGGAGGGACTGTGCAAAGAGCCATATTCAGATGCTTGGGAGATTCTGGGGCTGTATTTACATACACTTACATAGAAGGCATCTCCTACTATTCTGTAGAACTGTGCCATTTTCTTTGCTCTTGGCATTGCTAGTTCCTTCTACCTGTTATATTCTTTGGCCAAAATTCTCCTTGGTACTTGGGGGAAGGAGACAGCAAGGCCTTCAAAAGAATTCTAAATGGCCTTCCTTTCACCCTTTCTTATTGTGAGTTTCCCCAAAACCCAGACAGAAGTGGGACTAGACACCAAACCATGAGTATTGTACACAATTGTAGCCATCTGGTGCTAATTTGTGTTATTTTATACAGAGAAATGTAGATATTCAATGACGGTGCAATTGCCACAGCCTTTTCTGGTCTAATAGAACTGTCCAGTGGCCAAGGAAGGGGCTAGCTCTGTGACCATGTGAGGTGCCTTCTATCTAGCTCATTCTCGGCATCCAAATGTATACCACATCCAAAAAACAAGTATTTAAAACTGTGAGCTGTAAATTTCAAACCCAAAGTAAACTCGGACCCTGCAGCAATTCAAAGGCAGACTGTAAACAGGGAGCTAAGGGTAGGGGTTTCCCAGGTACCTTCACCTCATCTGACTTTCTGTGTTTCCTTCTCAGGTTCGCCTGGCCCTAATGCATGCGGAGTATTTCATGAACAATGTTAAGATGAACGACTATGTCAAAGACAGTGAGGAATGCAAGCCGGTCATTATTAATGCCCTCAAGGCCATGTATGATCTAAACATGAATGGACCCTCCAATTCTGACTTCACCAACCCACTCACCAGGCCCCGCCTGCCCTATGCCATCCTATTTGCAATTGGTGGCTGGAGTGGTGGGAGCCCCACCAATGCCATTGAGGCATATGATGCCCGGGCAGACAGATGGGTGAATGTCACTTGTGAGGAAGAGAGTCCCCGTGCCTACCATGGGGCAGCCTATTTGAAAGGTTACGTTTATATCATTGGGGGGTTCGACAGTGTAGACTATTTCAATAGTGTTAAGCGTTTTGACCCAGTCAAGAAAACGTGGCATCAGGTGGCCCCGATGCACTCCCGTCGTTGCTATGTCAGCGTGACAGTCCTCAGCAATTTTATTTACGCCATGGGAGGATTTGATGGCTATGTGCGTCTTAACACTGCTGAGCGCTATGAGCCAGAGACCAACCAGTGGACACTCATTGCCCCCATGCACGAGC